AGAGGAAGGAAGAGGGAGAGAGAGATAGAAACATCAATGATGAGAGAGAATCATTGATTGGCTGCCTCTTGCATATCCCCGACTGGGGATTGAGCCCGCAACGTAGGCATGTGCCCTTGGCTGGAATCAAACCTGGGGACCTTCAGTCCACAGGCCGACGCTCTATCCACTGAGCCAAACTGGCTAGGGCGAGAGTTTATTCTTTTGCCCCATCCTGTGCATGGCCCTCGCTCTCACCCTGAGCCTGGATGTGATAGTGGGAACATTATATTTGTTGCAGCCTAGGTGTGCAGGGCAGGGCCTGAATCTCCCTCTAATAAGACCTAGAACAGGCAAGGAGTCAAGGGTGGACCCTACCTCCCAGGCCCTTGCCCTGGCCTCTTACTCACCTCCAGGATCTGGCGGAGTTTGTCAGACGACTTAATGGACATTGAGGCTGCAATGACGGCATTCAGTTGCTGGGGATGGGATGGAGGAGGCAAGGTAAATTGGGGCTGTGTGTGTGTGGTGGGGGCAAGCCCACAGAAGGTTCAAGTACTCCCAAATGTCCTCCTGGAGCCCAGGCTGGGGGAGGCCCTCACCCCATCCTCACCCCAGGCCACACCCACACCACTCTGCCTGCCCCGCCCACACCGGCATGAGCAGCTGGACGGTGTCGGGGAAGTTGCCCATGAAGGTTAGCGCGGCCATGCGCTCCTGCAGGCGCGGGATGCGGCTGAAGCGCAGCATGAACTGGTCCTCCTCTGACAGCTCCTCCACCGGCCGCTGCTCCCGCTCGAAGCGGGCGATGAGGGTGCGCTCATACTCCGTGGGCAGGAAGCGGGTCAGCAGCTCCAGGAAGTCCAGGCTAAGGGCCTGGAGGTCGTACCTGGAGGCAGAGGGGTAGGCATTGCTCCATACCCACCAGTTCTCAAGAGCAGGATATCCCCTCCCCTTCCTTGATTGAGTAAATGAACTTCAGTATTTCCTATTTGCCAACAGCTTCGGGGAACAAGAGGTAGAAGTCAAGGTGGCAGCTGGAAAGCCCGGGGTCCGCATCAAACATGGCAGATGTCCAGCTGTAAGTGCCTGAGCCTGGGTGCCCATAGCTGGGCAAGGAGGCGGAGGGGGTGCTGGGAGAAGTGGGGGGAATGGGAGCATCTCAATCTGGCAGGAACTCACAGTATGGCCTCAGTTTCTCCATCTGAAAATGGGAACAAGGTTCGCCCCCACTGCCTGACTAGGGTTGATATGAAGCGTGGTGGGCTCTACCCCATAGTTGGGGCTCTTTCACTGGGGTCTGCCTAAGCACTGGCCTGGCAGAGGGGCTGGGATGCCCTCAAACCCCAGGCAGAGGTACTCACGTCTCGATGGCCTGGCAGATGCGGTCCGCTCCCACGTTGCCCTTGCGCAGGGTAATGGCCAGGTTCTTGGCCCGGTTGGCCTCAATGAGTGTAGATTTGGTGGGGGCCTTCTGGGCTGCCTTACCCTTGAGAGCATTGAGGTCCAGGCTGGGACCTTGGGACTTCGTCTTGAACTGCTCCTCAAAGTCACTCATGTCCAGTTCCTGAGGGCACAGGGAGAGGAGGTGGGGCCGGGTGGGCTGGGGTCTCATGCATTCCTGGCTGAGCACCGTGCTCATTGCTTGAGCCCCTCTCCAGCCCTGACCTGGCCACTGGCAGAGAAAGAAGCCAGTAATTCAGCTTGACCACAGGCCCTGATGGGGGACACAGGGGAAGCTCGGGGAGCACTGAGGAGAAGGAGGAGCAGTACCCAACCCAGGGGACCCAGACTCCAAGAAGTTAGAGATGAAGGAAGAGCTGAATTGGCCAGGGGGGAAGAGGGAAAGGAAGGGATTCCAGGCATGAGGAACAGCTTGAGCAATGGCCTGGAGACCAGAGAACACAAGCCTTTGGGAAAACTGGAAGTGGACCCGGCCGGCATGGCTCCGTGGTTGAGCATCAACCTATGAACCAGGAGGTTGCAGGTTCGATTCCCAATCAGGACACATGCCCGGTTGTGGTTGTGGGCTTGATCCCCAGTAAGGGGCGTGCAGGAGGCAGCCTATTAATGATTCTCTCTCATCACTGATGTTTCCATCTCTCTCACCCTCGCCCTTCCTCTCTGAAATCAACAAAAATATTAATAATTTAAAAAAAAAACACTGAAAGTGGATTGGAAGGACTGAAGCCCTGGTTGTTGGTGGGAAGGTGGTGGAGAGGGGTCTCAAAAGAGGGGAGAGAGGCCAGACTGGGGGGCGGGCTGTGCCCTTCTTCAGGGACGGGAGGGAACGCCTCCGGGGAGTAAGGAGGCACTGCCTACTAGAGTCACGAACCCAGTTTGCTGAATGCCCATCCCTGGGCCTCCACGTCCTCATCTGTAAAACGGGGTGGAGGTGACCACTCCTAGTGCCCAGCATGATCCGGGCAAGTCCCTTCCTTCTCTGGTGCCCACACCGGCAGCCAGCGAGGCCACACTCACCTGCAGCACCTTCTCATCATTGAGCTCAGTGAAGACAGTACCCGTGATCTGGCTGGGTTTCAGGGCTACCCAGTTTAAGAGGGGCATTCTGAACTTGGTCTGGATGGGTTTCTTGGCCTTCACTCCTGGGACAGGGAGGGAATGGTGAGTACGGGGGGCCATGGAGGGCGGGGTGGCTGGAGGGAGCCAGGGTGCGGCGAGGCCTGACAGGGCGGGCAGGAGGTAGTAGGAGAGGCGCTTGGAGGACACGGAGGCCAAGGTCCCACCCTCCGCTGCCCCAGCCCGGGGTGGTCCACTTACCTGGGCCCATCTCTGGGCCCGGCTCCCCAAGGGCACCAGAGAGACCTCCGGGAGGCGGCGGGGGCGGCGGAGGCACCAGCCCAGCTGGGCCCGGAGGCGGCGGCGGCGGCGGCGGCGGGGG